CAATAACATTACATTTTAGAAACAGGACCAAGTTTAGTCCATTCTTGATTTGACAAAAACTCTTCAGAAGGAAAAACTTGTATAGTTCATTTTTCTTCCAGAATTCTTTCCAGTGATGCTAATTTAATTGGCCTTGGGAAGGGATTGGACGTTAACAGTTTTTGAAAGCTACCCAAGTGTTTCTAATGTGTTGAGATCCATTGGTTTGGAACCAGTCTCCCCACATCCATCAGCAGCATGAAGATACTCCCAGTCACCAGACTTGCCTCCAACCTAGTCCAGGCACTCACATGGATAGAATATTATAGCAATCTACTCAAAATTGGCTTTTTCCTACTCTATCCTATATAACTGCCCTAAATGTGTGGTTTAAGATATGTTAACTTAAAAAATTAAACCAGCATAGGCAAACTGAACTATTTAACCTTCGGAGCTATAAGTTTATTTCAAATATATTGCCACATATCCTCAGTGCTTTTCTGTTTAAGCTAGATCTTTCTGTATATTTTAAGTTTTGATGACTATATTTTAAGAATGAGCTCTTTCTAATATCTAAATCTAAAGTCACTTGGAACCAATACATCTAGTTAATGAGATAAGAGAGCAAACTGTTTTTAGTAAGCAAATAGGGTCTGAGAGCTATGATTAGTACAATACTTGGAAGAATTCCAAATAATTACCTTTTAGATTTTTTTTATTTCCAAAAAGCAAAACACCTCCAAAGGATATGTTTCTCTTTTAACTCTCCATACTGTTAAGCATCATAATTTGCTATGGGTTACCACCCTTTTGGAGGGTAGTTTGTCAGTAGTAGTAAAAATTCAATATGAGAGGGGGCTGAGCTGACAAAAAAGTTGCTATGCCAGGAAAGGTTCTGGCTTCAGAAATGACGGTATTACTGAAGGCTCAGGAGAAGTGGGACTGACGACAAATTAATTGTAGTTCTTATTGTAAAACACTGTACAGCAAGCATATGCATCAAAGCACCTTAAAAAAAAATCCACAGAACAAATTCTCCAATTCTGGCTCCCTTTCCACCCAGAGCTCCTAATCACTATTCCCTCATTAAATATGAATGGACAACTAGTATTTAGTAGGATTACTAAACAACTGATTAAAGTTTGCTGAATGAAACAGACTAAGATAAAGAAGAAAAATATAATGAAGGGGATTCAAAAAATAACTGCACTCATAAAACAAGAACAGGATATTGTCTTTAAACAATGAAAGAGAAGGAGCTCTGAGAAATTTTAAATGACTGGAAACTAACTCCTAAGAAAAGTAGGAACATGGAATTGAGAAAATCTTCCAAGATGTAAAACAGCAAGGGAAGAAAATGAGAAAAGCTCCTAAGAGCATCAGCACAATCCTCTAATAAATACTAGCAGGCAGTGACCACGGCCTTCCAAACAAATGGTGATGAAACATTTTAAACCTACAATTCTGTATCTAGTCCAGTAATTCTGAATGCAAGTCATTATCACACTTAAGGACTAAACAGCCAGCTTCCAATACCCATTTTCTGGGTAAGTTATTTGTGGGTGTATTTTAGCAAAAGTGTGAAAACCCCAAGAGGAAGACGTGAATACTAAAACCAGTGGAATGAACCCAAGAGTTCAATAAAAAGTCATCCTGCAATGGTAATTGTACAAGAGCTAATAAATATATACTAGTATATATGTAACAAATAGAATGATTAAGGAATTAGAAATATTAGGAATTTGAGCTCCTTTCCCAAAAAGGAAGAAAAGGAGGCAATTACATGTAAAAGTGTGTTCTGTAGTACAGTAAGGCACAGCCAACTAAAATGTGTCAGTTTGTGTCAGTTGGTAGAGTATAGAAAATCAGAGACCTTTCAACATGTAAGGAATATTCTACTCAATGATAGAGGCATCATGAACTTGGAACCATGGAGAAGGAAATAAAATTGCTGACTTAATCATACAGTACCCATTTTTATATTACAGAAATGTAAGCTTTCGATAATGTAAATGTTCAGCTTTTAGAAAAAAACGAACATACATAGTTACAAAATAGAAGGCAAACCTGTATGTAGTGTTAAGGTACAGTTCAAAGTGGAAAGAATGGACCTGGCCAGTGTGGTTCACTGATTGAGCATTGACCTATGAACCAGGTCATGGTTTGATTCCTGGTCAGAGCACATGCCTGAGTTGTGGGCTCCATCCCCAATGGGGGGTGTGCAGGAGGCAGCTGATCAGTGATTCTTTCTCATCACTGATGTTTCTACTCTCCCTCTCCCTTCATCTCTGAAAGAATGGAAAGAATGGGAGCACTGGTTTTCTCATCTACACAAGATCAAGTCACACAAGATAAAGATGGCAAAAGTAATCGCCCTAACTGGTTTGGCTCAATGGATAGAGCATCAGCCTGCTGACTCAAAGGTCCCAGATTCGATTCCGGTCAAGGGCATGTACCTTGGTTGCGGGCACATCCCCAGTAGGGAGTGTGCAGGAGGCAGCTGATCGATATTTCTCTCTCATCGATGTTTCTAACTCGCTAACCCTCTCCCTTCCTCTCTGTAAAAAATCAATAAAATATATTTTTAAAAATAAAAAAATAAATTTAAAAAAAAGATGGCAAAAGTAACAACAGAAGAACTAAAGGCAGCAATACAAGGTGGAAGTAAATGTAGTTTTATAGTTGCTTTTATGAAAAATAATACAATAATTAATAAATAAAACAAACTTTCATGTACTCACTACTGTAAACCTACTTTTGCCCCACCGTGTATAATCAAATTTGGGTCATAGGATGTGTAGGTTAAATCCTCATCTTTCTTAGCAGACAGGCAATAGATAATAACTAATGCTGATAATTAAATTAAAAAAACCAATGGATAAAAAAGCTGGTGCCTTTAGAAGAAGAGAACTCAGCTCTTGTGTACATTTTCATCATTGGTTCTTATGTATTTTTATTATGTACATGTTTTTTAAACTTCCACTTAAGATTTTTTCATTTAAAAATTTATTGTATAGATATTTTATAACAACTTTTTAAAAAGTTCTAGTACTTAAAAATAGATGGCTAAGAGGCTGGTAGGAAGGGGGTGGGAATGGGAGATATCTGTAGTACTATCAACAATAAAAATATATTTAAAAATGAAAAAAAATAGATGGCTACTTGATATTAATGAGTTAGTTACTTTGTACGCTAATGGAGTAAAAATTTGCTTTAATCAGAGAAAAGGGCCTAAAAGAACTAGGCAGGGGAAGCTGGAACTGTAAGTTCAAGAAAGAATGTTAGAAACATAGTTTGGCTATTAACTAATCTAATCTCAAAATAGTTTTTAATTCATTATAATGAACTTAAGAGCCAATCCAGTAGGTAACACACATCTGTTCTGTTTCTTTCTGTATTTCATAGAGTGATGGTGTGCAACAAACAACCTACCTCGCCCAGCGGTACTGCCATGAAGCAGTAAGAGAGATCAGTAAACTTCGACCATCCCCAGAAAGAGATGCCCTCATACAACTCTCGGAAACTGTACTCACAAGAGATAAATGACAAAGTCTTTCTGTTATTCCTGGCAGCTATTTTACCAGACTGTGCCTAAAGAATTTTGTGGAATATACTTTGCTTCATGTGCACATAACCAAAAATCATTTTAAAAAATCATTTCCACCTTAATGATGGGCAATTATTTTATTAGCAAAGTTTTTCAGAAAAGTTTTAAAATAATTAAATCATCTGAAACTGTTATTTTAGCCCTGTAAATTCTAATCGAGGCATCTTGATGGTTATATGTGGTATTGTTTACACTGTTAATAGTCACATGTAAAGCCATTAAACAAATAAATAATCAATGTTAAAATTAAAATGGTTTATCTTGTTTCACCATAGGAGTAAATGTCAGAGAACTGTGAGGTCTACATTTCAATCAGCATTAGATTTTAACAGCATCCAAAATTTCATATAAGAGAATGGTTTATTATAAAAGACTGCACATAAAATTTAGATGAGTTATATACAAAATTAAGACAACATTCCACTTGGAAAAAATGAAATGTAAAATGTAGTAGCTTATCACTAGTGATACTGAAATCATGTTTAAAATTATCAAGGCAAAATGCATATTCAACAGTCACATTGATTTGGTAGCAATGGTCTTTAACTCTCAGAAATAAATGTTTTGCACTAGTCTTACCATTTACTATGCTATTATAGTCTGTAACGCCCAGTACATAAACTGCAATTTGAAATCCAGACAATTCCTCAATACACAGAAACCCACATTTGAGCGCTCTATTTTAATATCCTAGGCAATACAGAATTGTACACAAGATAAAACATCCTTCTAAACCTCCCTTAAATTAAGAGGAGACACACAAAGTGCATGTGTTGCATTTCAATTATGTCAAAAAGACAAAACAAATCTATTGGTCAGTTATGTCCCTGTTCACTGACTGATATATGACCCAGTTTTTCCCTAATTACTTTAAAAATCTTTTTATGTTGCTAGTACCAGTTAATGAATTAAATAGTGCCTATTCAAAAATCAATTGCATCCACTTCTACAAAACAGTATGTAAAAGATACTTCTAATTTCCTCTCATTGAACAACAGTCCACTGGAAAACTGGAGCACTAATAACAGCAATCCTTAAGAATTTTACCCACAGAAGTGAATAATTTTACACATTTTCTTAGCTCTGAAAAAAAAAATTACTTTAGAAAAGCAACTAAATAGATAGACTTGTAAATAACTTTCAGATTTTAAATCTTCAAAAATCAGTCACATTTGATTTTGGGACAGGTTGAGATAAGGCTGAAGTTCATATGCTGAGAAAATAGAACAATAATTCTGCAATAAATCAGTATCTTTTATTTATTTTTTTAAAAACAAATCAGTGAAGGAAAGGACAAAAACCTTTGGTTCACTTAAGTATTTGTGAGTGGAAAAAATTTATAATGCAAATTCACTCATTAAAAAACTTAGTTACAAATTACAACATTATAGATAACCCTTTTTTGTTTTTTTTATTTCACATGGAAACCTTAGAGACTCGATTCATTTCAAGAGACCTAAGTACGAGTACTCCAAGAAAATATCACACAAATTGGAAGCATCCTGGATTTGTAAGAAGTATATTTCAATAATTAATTTGTATGCATGCTTTAAACAAATAGTTATAGTTCAAGAATGAGAGAGTCTAAACAAAAGGTATGACCAGCACCAGCATTTAAGTTTCTGATTTTAATATTAGTCTGACATAGCATTAGTAACCATGCTGCACTGAAACATTAATGGTACAATCTGAATCATGATTTGTTAAATATTATACCCCAGATCCCCAGAATATTTAAGCTGGTCATAAAGTTAACATTGTGTAAGTAAGTATATAAGCATAATCAGTTATAGACAGCCTCTTGTATAAATTGCTGTTGAGCAATACACAAACTGCCTCAAAGATTTATGCTTACAAGGTAGACGTTCAATTATACCAATAAAACAGCATGTCCTGAAAATATGGGCACATTTTAAGACAATTTTGTTAACCATTAATAGTCCCACAGTATGACTGAGTAATAATAAGAACCTACTTTAAAAGCAAAAAATTTTAATCAGTATAGTGCATGATTGATTCAACATAGTTCCCAGGGAACAAACCAGTCACTCGATTGCAGACTCCTTCATACCAGCCATCATCATTCTTCTTTATTACATAAATGATTGCACCCTCCATAAATGACAGCTCATCATCCTTGTCTTTTGTATAATCATATATTGCCACAACTATGGAAAAAAGAGTTGAAATAACAAGTGAGTGCACTATATCCAACATAATGTGAATTTTAAAATGTAATGCCAATTAAATCTATAGTATAGCAAAACCAACTATTTTATGAATATTCGTAACTCTTACATCTATAAATATAGGTAGACCAGTGGCTAACCATGTACCTAAATTAATAACTTGATCTTGGGGCCAAACTGACTAATTGATTAGACTAGAGAAAACAATAGTTTCTACCAATCTATTTAGGGAAGATCTCTGAATTTTAAGGGCTGATTAGCCATTTCAATTCATTTGTTCAAATATCTACTAAGTGCCAACAGTATGCAAAACAATTTTTCAAAATAACTGGGCAGCAAAGCTGCATAACCAATCAGTAAACCAGCTATCTAATTTGAAAATATACATACCTGGAGATAAATCTCATCCAAGGAAAATATTCATGTAACTTATGGGGCTATATTTAGAATATTTTTACAGAGCACTTTAATGATCAACAGGATTTTTTAAGGGGAAATAACTGAGTAAAGATGCATTAATTAAGACTGAGAGAACTATTTGCAATTCTGTAGTATCAGTGATTATTTTGAGTTCAAAATATTCACTTTGCACAGTGTCATAGAAAAAAAGGCATAAAAATTATTCTAGTTTTCTAAACTACTGGTTGATAAGTTTAATTATTCCTTCATTCTGCCTTCATAGCATAATGATGCTCAAATTATATGTACTTTTCTAGTAAATGTGAAATGGTATGCGATATGGATTTTTTTCATTGATTTGCCTCGTGTAGTTTTTCTTAAAATACAGAGTTCTTAAGACGTTTAAGATGTTCTGGAACTTACTTTTCCACCAAAAAAGATGGTTAGTCCCCACAATTATTCTGAATTAGGGAATTATAAGAGGCTTGAAGTACTAATCGATATTATTTGCTAAATTAAAACAGGCAATCTTCTCTCCCCTTTCCGAAACACTGTATTAAGTATACTCAACAAGTCCATTTTAATCCTGCAGCAGAATCATAGTATTGTGATTACAAGCTCACTGACATATAAAGTTGTCTTTAAAAACCCCCAAACATAAAGAATAAATAATATTAAATTATTATCCTGGTATTATTTTTATCTAAGAAGCCACCCAAAAGAATTGAGTGACTGTTAGATACAGTAAAGAAAATAATGTAATAATTTAAAAGTAAACTATTAATTAGTCAATTAATATTTATTATTTATGGTTTACCTTTGATAACATTAATTTCTTTGTATTCAGATTGATAATGAATTAAATTTTGAATGCTATAGACTTTTAAGCTAATCATGACAAAGGCCCGACATTCTCAAAGTCATTTGGCAGAATAAAAATGTTTCCTCTCACCCAGCCTTAGTGGTTGAGCATCAACCCATGAACCTGGAGATCACAGTTCGATTTCTGGTCAGGATACATGGCCAGGTTGGGGCTTGATGCCCAGTGTGGGGCATAGAGGAAGCAGCCGATCAATGATTCTCTCTCATCACTGAAGTTTTTTTTTTCTCTCTCTCTCTCTCTCTCTCTCTCTCCCTCTCCCTCTCTCTCTCTTCCTCTTTGAAATCAATAAAAATATATATTTTTTTTAAAATTGCAATGTCTATGGCTGTTTTGTGCTATAACAGTGGCTAACAGAGATTTAAATATTTCATTTTGCAATATATACAAATAATGAATCACTACACTGTATACCTGAAACTAATATAATGTTATGTCAATTTAACCTCAATTTTTTAAAACAGTTAAAAATATTGCCCTAGATAAGTAAAGACCTATACTTGCTACCTCTCACAACCACATCCAAATTATAAAGACAGAACTATCATCCAGAACCGCGGGAAAGCTGGCTGAGTGGAAGTTCTACAACTAGAGAGGTAAGAAGAAAGTGCATTGACACTGGTAGGCTGTGCGGAGGTGCAGAACGGGCTGGCATCCATGTGTGCTGCTTTTTTAATTGGAAGGGAGATACAAGCTCCCGCTTGTTCTGAACTCCAGTTCCAGGCAAGACTCTGGGAGACCCAGACACATATGAGGAGAAACTGGACTATCTGGAATCAGGACAGGAACACGAGGGCGGCTTTCTTTCAAATGGAGATGCTCGCAGCAGCCAATGTTCCTACCCTGGGACCTCTCTGGTGCAGGGCTAACTGGCAGCCATTGCTGTTTGCTCTGCCATGGTGATTCCCTGAGAACCCGCCCCACCCAATTTACAACCCCAACAAAGCTGTGCCCAGCGGCTTTTGCATATGAATGGCCTGTCCTTTCTCAGCCTAAAACCTGTCAAACAGGCAGCAGCTGGGTCAGGTAGCCCCAAAGCAATCAATCCAGCAGCAGCAGCCTGCCTTGCTACACAGCTGGGCCTTGTCTGGGAACTTCCAAACCCCATACAAAGAGGAGGAATCTGCAGATCTCTCTGTAGCTCCTGCTGGGCGGTCCCAGGCAATGGCTGACTTTGCACCTCCTTGGAGATCCAAGAGCCAGTGTACCCAGTGGTCAGTGTGAGACCATACCAGAATACAACTCTTCACATCCATAAGCGACACAGTCAAGGGGCAGACTCAGTGAGCACCAAAGCCCCACTGAAGCAAGCCCTGCCCCACAAGGGTGTCTCCTGAACAGCAGCTCTTCCATTGTAGACACAGCTGGTCCTCACAGCCAATTGGCCTGGAGATCAATTCCTCCCAGTGATACCAACAGCAATCAGACTTAACTATAACAAGACTGTGCAAACAGCCCACAAAGGGGTGCACCACAAGTGTCCACCTAAGGTGACAGGGGAGACTGAGTCACTGGGCCCTAGAGGACACCTACCACACAAGGCCAATCTATCAACTCAAGGAGACTCAGCAGCTACCCAATACATAGAAACAAACACAGGGAAGCAGCCAAAATGCGGAAACAAAGAAACATGTGACAAATGAAAGAAATAGATGAAAGCAAAATACTGGATATAGAGTTCAAAACCACAGTTATAAGGTTACTCAAGAATCTTCTAGAAACCTCCGAGGAACTTACGGAGACCTTCAAGGATCTTAGTGAGAATGCCCAAAAAAATGGAAAAGGACCAGTCAGAAATTAAGCATACACTGACTGAAATAAAGAATGACATACAGGATTCAAGAGTAGACTAGAGGATCCCAAGAATCAAGTCAAAGATTTGAAATACAAGAAAGCAAAATACACCCAACTGGAAGAGCAAAAAGAAAAAAGAATCCAAAAATACGAAGATAGTGTAAGGAGCCTCGGGGACAACTTCAAGCATATCAACATCCGAATTATGGGGATGACAGAAGAAGAGAGAGAGCAAGATATTGAAAACCTATTTGAAGAAATGATGACAGAAAACTTCCCCTACCTGGTTAAAGAAATAGACTTACAAGTCCAGGAAGCACAGAGAACCCCAAACAAGAGGAATCCAAAGAGAACCACACCAAGACACATCATAATTAAAATGCCAAGGGCAAAAGACAAAAGAGAGAATCTTAAAAGCAGCAAGAGAAAAACAATTAGTTACCTACAAGGGAGTACCCATACGACTGTCAGCTGATTTCTCAACAGAAACTATGCAGACCAGAAGGGCGTGGCAAGAAATACACAAAGTGATGAATAGCAAGAACCTACAACCAAGATTCCTCTACCCAGCAAAGCTATCATTTAGAATTGAAGGTCAGATAAAGAGCTTCACAGACAAGAAAAAGCTAAAGGAGTTCATCACCACCAAACCAGTATTGTATGAAATGCTGAAAGGTATTTAAGAAGACGAAGAAGAAGAAAAAGGTAAAGATAAAAAATTATGAACAACAAAGTGACAACAAATACATGTCTATCAACAAGTGAATCTAAAAATCAAATGAATAAAAAAATCTGATGAACAGAACAAACGTAAATGTAATAGAATCAGGGGCATAGAAAGGGAGCGGGCTGACAAGTCTCGATGGGAAGAGGGTGTGGGGGGTGCGGGAAGAAATTGGACAAAGAGCTTACACCTATAAACAAGGATAGTGGGGAGGGGCAAGAACCTGGGGGGGGGGGGGGAGGGTGAGAACTAGGTGGATGGGAACTATGGGGGGAAAAAAGAGGAACATCTGTAATAATCTGAACAATAAAGATTTAACCCTTTTCGGTCCAACGTCCAGGCTGACTCAACAGACCAGGCGCTAGGAGCAGGTCCAACATGGAGCTGAGGTCGACACCGCAAACCGCTGCGATTATATGCATTGTTAGTAAGTTCAACAGTCAATCCCATCAATTAATTTGGACCAGACTGTTTGAATTCCAAAAATAAAATTATACCACAAAGGGTTAAAAAAACAAAATTATTGCCCTAGCTGCTTTTGCTCAGTGGATAGTGCGTCAGCCTGCGAACTGAAGGGTCCCAGGTTCAATTCCGGTCAAGGACACATGCCCGGAGTTGCGGGCTCGATCCCCAGTACGAGGCATGAAGAAGGCAGCCAATCAATGATTCTCTCTCACCGTTGATGTTTCTATCTCTCTCTCCCTCTCCTCTCTGAAATCAATCCTATATAATAAAAGGGTAATATGCAAATTAACTCTCACTCCACCACAAAGATGGCGGCACCCATAGCCCAGTCCTCTCAGCCCAGCCGGAGATCCCCAGTCCCGGCGAGGCAGCTGCTGAGAGCAGGCAGCGTGAGTGACCCGGCGGAATGCTTGCTTCGTCGCCACCACAACGAGACAAGCGTTCCGCGCCCGGCTGCAGACGGGCCTCTGGCCAGGCCAGGGCGCAAAACGCTTGTCTAAGAAGAGAAGGAACCGGTGAGCTGAGCAGAGTTGAGTGGCCCCTGACTCCCGGGCAAGGTCAAGTCCGGGCAGCCAGGGGGTGGAGGGGATGAAGGATAGTGTGACAGGAGGGGATGGTGGCAGAGGCACAGGGGTGAAAGCCGGCCAAGAAAGAAGAAGGAAGCCCTTTATCGATGTTCCAGAGAACAGGGAGGAAAGTCGTTTGCATTTCCCAGCCACAGATGGGCCTCTGGCCAGGCCAGGGCGCGGAACGCTTGGTCGTCACCCTGGGCAGCATGCACGGAGCGGTGAGGCCCCACAGAGAGCTACTGGCGCACGAATTCATGCGCAGGGCTACTAGTAAAAATATATTTAAAAATTTAATAAATAAAATAAGTTAAAAATGTTTATTTGGTCTTTTCCACAACTTATTTCTACTTGAAGGTACATAAAAATCTTAATAGAAAGTAGATTATTCAAGACTTCCTGAACTATATGCAGAATATTTACTCTTAAAAAATATAAAAAAGGAAAATAGGAAATTTACTTTTAGCTATGTATTTAAAACTTGGGCAGGGGAGAATGGAACAGGTCTCAAGAGCTACAGCTACTTACTTAAGATCAGTTAATCCAATACAGGGAATGGAAGGGAATACATTTCAAATGTAATCAAATGTGATCAACTAAATTACAAGTATTTTTCAGAACACTATACAAACACAGATTTTTAAATAGCACATAATTGGACTAAAAAAAGCAAACTCTCTAAAAACAGGACTTTTTCTTTCCTACATACTGTTTCTGAAAAGATAATTAAGGTGACTGTCAGGTAAAATAGGTAAATTTGGTCATTGGAGTTACACATTATTTCATGATATAAAATTCTAGTGATTATCTTCTCTTTTGTAAGATCAACTAATGAAAACCTTAATTGAAATCTTGTTCTCATAATAATTCCAATAGATTTTAAAGTATTTAGAGATAAAAGATTTCTATTTTTATGGGAAGTGCTTAGAAATTTGGTTTTAAATATTACTAATTATATGACTAGTAATAGTAAATCATTTCACTCCTTTTTTGTGTGTGTCTTAGTTGCTTCATCTATAAAATGCAGACAGACAAGTTAATCTCCAGCTAGAAGCACTATGTCATTTGAAAATGTACAGCTAACATTACAACATATTTTTAATTTAAAATATAAAGAATCCTCTCTTCAAATTGGAAATGTATAGGAAATAAGGTTTAACTATATCATCTTGACTGGTAAACTTATTCAAAAGATTGTGAAACACTGGATTAAATGTTCTTCATAGCTCTAAATTCTATAATTACATTATTTTCCTTTACTCTAATAGATGATTGTACCTTACCTTTCTCAATATAATTCTTAGGGGCCCATGCAGGATCCCCATCTGCATATGGGTCATTATACTGAACTACTGCAGCCTCCTCATCTTCATAATCCACTGGAGGTGGTGGCGGCGGAGGTGGAGAGTCATCAAACATGGGAATGTCATCTGGTGGAGGTGGTGGTGGAGGAGTTGGACTATCAGCAACTAGAAAAAATTCAGATAATTAATTTGAATAAAAAAACGAGACTAAATGGAAATTCATAAATTAAAAGAATTTAAGAAAGCTCTAATTCATATAAAGCATGCACTATAATAAAACATGCAAGATTAGAAATAAAAGCTTGGTGTGTTAAAGCTTCCACTATTCAAGAAAAATTTTGCTATAATAAAATGAGCTAAAAATAAAGGTATTAGGAAGTACTACAAATTAATGGATGCAGGTTAGGAGACTATCTCTTTACATAAAGATTATAGGAGTAAAGAAGTTTCCTTAATTCCAAGGCTCAGGTCTAAACAACTGTCACTCTTTAATTAATTTAAGTCCTTAAATAAGCCTTATGTCACCTTTATCATTTGGACTACAGTAAACATTATGAATAATATTACATTAATGGTTTGATAGCTATTCATTGTGAATATTCATGTCTCTGATTTTAGATTAAATATCTTTAGTTGCCCAGAAATAAGTTTCCAGTGGATAGATATTTATTTTGTTTGTTTTAAGGGAGAAAGAAAAGTCGGTGGTATTAGGTATGCTTCTATGTATATGTTTTCTATTCTTTCATGTAAATTTTAACAAGAAAAAATTAAATTAAAAAATCCCCAACTAGTAGAAAATGTCTTAGAGTATTTTTTAACATGTTTGTACTCATAATCAACTTTTTAAATGTAGAAAGCAAGCTAAGATTTTTGCCTTATTGCTAGTAAAACATAACATAGATGAGGGGAGGACAAGATCCTAAAGATCTATTCTAAGAATACATCCAAACAAAGATTTTAAAAGTAAAGTTTTGTGGTAATAATTAAAAAAAAATACACAGAAAGTACCTTATATCATGCAAAACAATAAAACCAACTCACACCTCCAATTCTAGATGGTTGTAGTATGTGCGTGTAATTTAAATAATCAAAAGTATAAATGGTAAAATGTAGAGGCTAGAACTGTGTTCACTGAACTATTATGACACCAGGTAACAAATGCTCCCAACATTAAGGAATTCAAAACTGGAACACAACTAATTCTTAATTTAAATTTCTTATGCACACATTTCTTTAAAAGTTAAAGACATGAAAATGTTTTGATACAAATTAACACAGGAATTATATAATAGCTACAGGGAAGAAATTCAGAATACCAATATACTAACTTAAATGCCAATTTCTAAGGCTATTTTTATATGATCAAAAAAGTCATAATCTATCTTAATACAGGTTTTAAAGTTTACTCCACCCTATTTGGAATAAAGTGCTGAGAATATAACAAGGGCTCAAGATTTAAAACATGTGCAGATTTAATAGCCCCATTTCCACTTCAATGCTGTGAATTTCTATTTTATCCTGTTGAGGAATGAAAAAGGCTACTAGAAAATAAGCCTTGTGCGATAACGCTCATTCTGTTATGTTTATAACTTATTTTTCCACTGAATGCTTGGATCTATTTTACTTTTGCCCACAAATAACCCTTAAATCTTTCTATTACTATTGTGGGAGGCAACCAATCAATGTGTCTCTCTTACATAGATGTTTCCTTTCTCTCTCTCTCCCCTTCTCCTCCCCCTTCCATTCCACTCTCTAACGATCAAGGGAAAAAATATCCTCAGGTGAGGACTGAATTTAAATAAACAAATAAATAAATTTAAGATACTGATGATACAGTTTCTCACCAATCTTCCTAGCATGCTTTCAAAGAAAACAGATGACAAATAAAGTTGGGCATTCTGCAGCACAAGGACAATGACTGGCTCAAGTTCATCTGTTTGGTGGAAGAACTAAACTAGTACCATGGGCCTCTTTAGCAAAGGCCAGGCATACCTAGAATAATGCACATTAATTCTGAATTTCTATTTAAAGTTACCAAAGAGCTTCGGTCACACTAAATGGAAGTTCATTATGGTTATTTTTAAATAGTTTCTAAAAATTCTTGGCTGTAAGGCAGTTCAAAAAGTTTAACTGGCTTCATTTTTAAACTCTTACAGCATTAAAGACCAGCAATTTACTCTTATTCACTTATTATTAAAAATAAGATTCACTTATTTATATATATTTAAACACAGATTTCAAAGTTGATTTGCACTCAGAAATTTCAATATTTTGAAACTACAATGTTTTATAAAATATCCATTAAATCATACATTTCTTACAGGTAAGGACTCTGTCTTAAACTATTTGTATTCTTCCCAAAGACTAACACATAACACTAAATCCACAAATATTTGACTGGAGGAATGGAGGAAATAGGTAGAATAACACAAAAGGGTCAGCACAAGCTGAACAATGAAATTTGCCACAATGTATTATCTTAGAAGACTAGTTGATCAAATGGGTTACACATTTGTTCACAACATTCTGAGATTTATTTGGATGGTGATGGTCCCAAATAAAGTAAATTACTACTTGACCACCTTACCATCTTAATCTCAATAGCTATTTTGGCCTAATAAAATTTGTGATAGTGGTATTCTTCATTTTGTCAAGTAACATTCACTATGATCCTGTGACTATGATTACACATCTTCCAAAACCTTAAAATAATCAGCAATATAAACTATCTACCCTAATTAAATCCCTATATTTAAAAGAATTTTCAAAACTCCCTGACCTTCCTTCAAAGAAGCCCTAAAAAAAAGATGACAGATTTGTATATTCATAAATAATCCTCATGGGCCTGCATGTAGCTAGCCAAAACATGAAGAGGGCTCTATAATGACAATCACTCAAATGAATACATATCGTGAATGTAATTTACTTATTCCTGCATATTCATTCTTATTCTAACAATGAATCTTTATATAGATTAAAAATTACTCATGTATCAAAATCTAAGGAAAGCTACAAAGTCTCCAAAATATTTTTTGTAACTAAAGAAAAAAACAACAGTCCTGTCCCAATTATGTAATAAACAAAATCTCACAAAACAATCTATAGATGAATTTGAATGCCAAATGTCTTCTAATTCTTATAATAATTATTGGAAGCTAGTAGTTTCCTTTGTGTTTGATTATACTTTCCTTAAGAATCTGCAAAGATCAGATTTCATGTTTTAGATCATATGAATACATAAGAAAGTTGCAATTTTGAAATTTATATAGGTCAGTAATCATGCACACAAGAGAAAAAACTAAAGATCGTGCTCTTCAGTTTCAATAACATAGCTGCACCTATTTTCAGATAAGATTAGCTTCTCAGTAAAAGTAAGGAAAATGATGACTCATCAGCCATGCATGCTATAAGGAGACAGCCTCTACCCTTTGACAGCTCAGTTTTTCCAAACTTACTGTTTTCCTGCACCCTGGCCACGAAGCCTGTGAGAGGTATCTGTGGAGTCAACTGAGGCATAGGGGGAGGGGGTGGAGCAATAGAAACTGATAGCAACAACACAGTATGGGGGAAGTAAAACAGGTAAAGGAAAGAAAAGGAAACAAAAAGCAGAAGTCAGTTACAAGGACCACAAACATAAGTATGCAAAGAACAGTTTGCAAATGAAACAAAACAAAACAAAAACAAAACAAAAACCTGCAGAACCTTCAAGTTGATTACACACTAGAAAATCTAAAGCTGAGTTGTGTTTAGCCAATTGGTTAATTTTATTGAAAAAAAATACTTCTAACTTAATCCTAATTATATTGTTTGGGAGAGATTTAAATTTACCCTCACATTCACTTTCATGCAATGAAAACCTCAAGTTCTAAGAAAAGACTTTAGCCCTAGCTGGTTTTGCTCAGTGGATAGAGCATCGGCCTGCGGACTGAAGGGTCCCTGGTTCGATTCCAGTTGAGGGCACATGCCCGGGTTGCCGGCTCCATCCCCAGTAGGGGGCGTGCAGGAGGCAGCCAATCAATGATTCTCATCATTGTTTCTCTCTCTCCCTCTCCCTTCCTATCTGAAATCAATAAAAAATATACTTTTTTAAAAAGACTAAAAAAAAAGTTAACAGTGAAATACTGATAGCAGTTTCTAGGATATTGTATCTTTGCCATATTTCTATAACCTAACAGGCTGTTCTAGCTTTAGGGTAATGTTGTATATTAGAAACCAAATGTGCTATGAAACAGCTGTTTAGATCATATATAAGTAACTATATCAATCACAGTTTTCCTTTAAAAAATTATTTTATATATAAATTTACACATAGCTCTCCAGGAAAAACCCTTGTTTGTAAAATAAGGTTATATTACCCTTTAAGTTGACGTTTTTATTTTTATTTTTTTTAAATATATTTTATTGATTTTTTACAGAGAGGAAGGGAGAGAGATAGAGAGTTAGAAACATCGATGAGAGAGAAACATCGATCAGCTGCCTCCTGCACATCTCCTACTGGGGATGTGCCCGCAACCCAGGTACATGCCCTTGATCGGAATCGAACCTGGGACCTTTCAGTCCACAGGCCGACGCTCTATCCACTGAGCCAAACCGGTTTCGGCAAGTTGACGTTTTTAAAGACATTACTCCTAAATTTACTATATCCCATGCTGTTTGCTGAGTTTCAAAGAATAAAATATCTCTCAAAAGTGACCTTCTTTCTTTTTATCACTGTTCTGATAAAGAAAATCTGGTCTAATAATACTTTAAAATAGGCAATTATTTGCATTTAGGTAATTTCTAACAAATCATTAGCAGCTGGAAAAATATTCCAACTTCTTTCTAGAGAGGACATAATTTACAAGAAATAAATACCAAATGTTCATGTGGGCAGCAAATGTATTAAAAATTAGCAAACTAAAAGGAAATATACATACTTTTACCATTTTGTCTCATAACAAGACAGTAATTGCCAAAGATTGCTCAAAAAGGTCAATAGGAATGGATAACAAAACTCAGTTTACTGGTAGTCACAACAAGTGACACTAAATTGACAGAGAAAAACAATTCATTGGTTCCCAAAGATCATGTAATCAAAAAGTTACTTCAATTAATTCAAGTTAAAAATTTTGTTGGTGAGTGTAAAAATTTGAGAGGTTCAGTGTTTAAAGAAGCAATAATTTAAAGCAATTAATATTCATTGTGTGGCTAAACTAGCATTTAATTCACTGACTTGGCCTTGTTCCATCTGATACTTTGTATATAGAAGGCTCTTCAATGAATAAAATGTTATAGTTTTTTATTTTTAAAAACTCCCACATATTTTTCAGGTGTTTTACTTTTTTCTAGAAACAACCCTTAGTAACTAGCCATGCTGGTTAGTATGTCAAGAAAAAGAAAAGCTTTGCTGTGAAGATACTAATAATTACCATCACATTTAGAAAGAAGAGGAAATATGCACATCAAAACACTAAAAACATTCACATCTACTATTACAACACCAACAGTAATTCAGACTAAAGGATGATTAATTTGACAAGACATAATAATATCTTTAAAATTTGAAGCTAAACTTACTTTACAATATCCAAAAGATAGACATTCAGTAATAAAAATGTCTTGTCTGCAAATAACCCACCCAAGTACTGCTAAATAAAACTACACAAACGTGTATTATGTGAAGTCACCAAAAACTCTATTTGCAGAGTAAATTTAAATGTCCAACTGAGGAAAAGAAAAAAATAAACATAAAGATAGGATCTAAAAGTGCAGTGTAAAATGAAAGAAGTTTATAAAACTAGTGAGGTTAATAATCAGATAATCTGTAGAATATTCAGACGCTAGGTACCTTTCACTACCAAAGGAGACCAGGGAAACTATAAGGTAAAATTCTAACTGATAAAGTTTTTTAGCGTTTAGATGAAAATGTTAGTCTAGAAAAAAAACTATAAATTTTAGGATTACCTATGAATTCTGACATTTTTGCTAAAGTGGTCTTCAATTCATATGAGAATTTTTTTTGCTATAATACAATTAATCTTTAACTCTAAAAATTAAACAAACAAAAAAAACACCAATAATGTAACTTTCCCCAGCTCTGCTTTAAAATACATGTTCAGGCTCTAGCTGGTTTGGCTCCATGGATAGAGTGTTGCCTGTGGACTGAAGGGTCCCGGGTCTGATTCCGGTCAAGGGCACATGCCTGGGTTGCAGGCTCGATCCCCATTAGGGGGTGTGCAGGAGGTAGCTGATCAATGATTCTCTCTCATTATTGAGGTTTCTATCTTTCCCTCTCCTTCCTCTCTGAAATCAATAAAAAAATATTTTTTAAAAAACATGTTCAGAACATGCACTATAAATAAAAAGAACTTAAACCAACTTCCTATGTTAACATGGAGTATTCAGTGTTTTTTAATTTTCTTTTAATACTTTTTTATTCTTATATTACAGTTGACATACAATATTAAATGAGTTTTAGGTTTACAACCACATTAGATATTTATATAACTTATGAAGTTATCACCCCAATAAATCTAGTACCCATCTAACACCATATATAGTTATTACAATATTATTGACTATATTCTCTATCTGCTTCACATCCCCCCATGACTATTCTGTAACTACCGATTTTACTCAGTGTTTTCTCAACAATAAAACATGCAGTTCTAGAAAGTAGTTACAAAAGCTTATAGGGAAAGTGTGTTTCAGTCTAGTCCCAGTGATCACCCTTCGAGCCAATAACAAATACTGGACAATAGGCTCATTTCAGATCTGTTTTTCCTTTTTGGATTAAGCATCTTGATATGGAAAGTGAAATTAATAACCACCACAAGCAATTCAAACTTCCTGACATTATATGCCCAAACGGTTTTCTAATCTTATCAGCTTTTAAACATTGACTGCAGTTAGTGTTGAGATGTGCAATTCAAGGTGAAGAAGAAGAAACTTTTTAAAAATCCTCCCCACTGTTAACTTATTCAGAGACATAATAAGCAAACATCACTAACTTTTTTAAATGGTTTTGAATTCATTTCAGTATAGTTTAGGAAGCTTAAAAGTGATAGCCAGCAATTTTATGTTATTTTAAAGAAAAATAGTCACAATGTTTTAAATTCTTTTGTTATTGAACAGCCTCAAATATGCCAATAAAAATAAATTCAATTTAATTAATTTCAGTTTTTCTTCTCTAGTTCTATTTATAGTAATAAAAATATCATTTTAAAGCATCAGTTAAATTTTAGTATAAAGTACAGTAAACCTGAATTATTTGAGCGAAAGTGGTAAATTATTTTTTAAATAGTATGATTGAAGAAACAACTAAATAAATATAAAGTGGCATGGTTTCAATTGTTGTCTATCACTAGCAAAATAACAATTTCAAATAATTTCCCTCTAAAGGAGCTCAATGGTGCTGTACGCCTGCAAAGCACAAGCTTACTTGAATTCTGAGAATAAAGTGGACCTCCATTAACATGAGGCTGAGCAGAAAATTGAGCAGTCACAGAGGGAGTTCGTCTGTATCCACCAGAAGATGTCGAGGAAGTGGTAGAGTTGTGTCGAGAAATCTGCCTGGTCATTGTGCCATACTGGGAACCAGGAGCTGAGCCCGGGGCCGCTGAAAAGCATTAGTCAAAGGCAACCAACAAAGAATTTGAGCACTGCATATCACCTCCAATAGCAGAACAAAGAGAGGGAGACTCACAGTAAGAAGTATTTATTAGTTTTAAGGCCCACAGCAAAAATAAAGAGAAAAGTAAAGATAAAACACAAATAGCTCCATCTCTGAAGAAGGAAAAACAGATAGTGGGGAAGCTGCAAAAGTAAATAAAGTTACATTCTTAAGCCATTTAATTTAGCATAATCCCAAATATTTTGCTAATATTATGTATAAATTTTTACTGTATTATTTTAGAACACACAGATTTTATATGTAAATTGTGTCTCTCTAACAAAATAAGTACCAAAGGATAGTCTGAAGTGGAAAGCGTCAGCTTTTAAATGTGAATGCATTAATATTTGATTTACAAACTTCTTCCTTTCCATTGCCAAATCTTCAAAAAAACTGTGTAAGATTCTATCCAGCCAAATCCAGGTTTAATTATAAAATTTAAAGAGTTCAGCATATTTTCCACAGATTGTACTAAAATTTGAATGTTTATTGTATCAGCAGTTATCAATACATATTATAGTAAAATCATTTTTAAGAGAAGTACAACTTCTAGTTTCAAAGCTCTTATAGAAATCCATTCTCTTTCTCCATACTTGGAGGTCTTTTTCTCCATACTATACTCAAATCAATCTTTTGTATAAAATTATCATGCATATCTAAACTTACTAAAGTATTAATAATGCTTAATATTTTATTCAGTCATCTTGACCAACATTTCAAAAGTTTAATACTTAAAAGGTTAATAAAGTTCAAAGCCTCTAAAGTTAACTATACTTTCCAAAGGTTACTTTGGGATTAACAGTATTATTTTTTTGCCTGACCTAAACATCTAACCATGACTATGTAAAAAAAACAGCATCCTAGTTTATTTTCATTCAGTTGTCTAATTTAACCTCCCCTAGAGGTGATAAAAATTATTAGATAAAACTGTTCAGCAGAGGTTGTTCATTAAAAGTGCTAATATTTAACATTTTGGAACTCCCAAGCCATAGGCAGTCACTAATTATTTGAATCATCCACATGGTCATTTTCAAAACAGAAACACATTTTTAAAATAATAGTCGATTTAAAAGCTTTTCATGAGTAACCCTGGACAGCTAGGTTTTCTAGAAAGCTAAGAAGTAAGCCTAAAGCTACTTTTAATACAATTCTCACTATAATGATTTTTATATTTCTCTACCTGTATAAAAATGTATGAAATCCAAGTTGTTTTTCTTGGTGATTTAAAACCCAAAACCAACTTATTCAGCAGTTCCAAACTATGCCTATTTTAAAATCTATTTTAATATTTTATTATAAAATAAACCATAATACGAAAGGGTGTGTGTGTGTGTGTGTGTGTGTGTTATATAAATTATACATATACATAAATGCAAACGGTTATATGCTAATGTTATATAATATTTGTAATGATTATATATAACTATTTTATAAATACATATATAATTTTTTTTAATAAAATAAGATAAATACCCTGCTTCAAGAAATAGAATATTACTAGTATCACTGGAGTTTCCTGTATGCCCCCTCTGGATCCACAACTCCAAAAGGGTATGTGTTGCCGAAACCGGTTTGGCTCAGTGGATAGGGCATCGGCCTGCGGACTGAAGGGTCCCGGGTTCGATTCCGGTCGGGGGCATGTACCTGGGTTGCAGGCACATCCCCAGTAGGAGATGTGCAGGAGGCGGCTGATCGATGTTTCTCTCTCATCGATGTTTCTGACTCTCTATCTCTCTCCCTTCCTCTCTGTAAAAAATCAATAAAATATATTTTAAAAAAAACAAAAAAACAAAAAAACAAAAAAAAAACAAAAGGGTATGTGTTAAACATTCTATTTCTTTACTATATATAGCTTAAAAAAAATCTCAGATATAGAATCTTAAACAATATACAGATATTTTGCAAATTTATAAATATTTATAATAAAACAATTATGTATTCTGTTGGCTTGCTCTTTTCCTTTGATATTTTTTAAAATTCACCCATGTTGATAAGTATATCAATATATTAACTCTTATAGCTACATTCACATGTAAACATCCCACAATTTATCCATTCTATTACTAGACATTTTGGTTACATCCAGAGTTTTGCTATTCTTAATATTGCTACTATGAGCATTCCTAAATATGGTTCTTGAATTTTTCTAGAACAGTGGTTCTCAAACTTGAGCACTGATCAGAATTGCACCCTGAAAGCTTGTTATAATACAGATTGCTGGGCTCCAGTCCTCAGAGTTTCTGACTAAGTAAGTCTACATGGGACCTGAAAATTCACATTTCTAACAAATTTCCCCAGTGATGATGCTGTTATTCTGGGTGTCACACTCTGAAAGCCACTGCTCTAGGACAGTGGTTTTAAACTTCATGGTCTTAGGCTTCATTCTTTAAAATTAGCCCTAATTGGTTTGGCTCAGTGGATAGAGCGTCGGCCTGTGGATTGAAGGGTCCCAGGTTCGATTCCGGTCACCGGCATATACCTTGGCTGCGGGCACATCCCCAGTAGGGGGTGTGCAGGAGGCAGCTGATAGATGTTTCTCTCTCATCGATGTTTCTAGCTCTCTATCCCTCTCCCTTCCTCTCTGTAAAAAAAAAACAACAAACAATAAAATATATTTTTAAAAAATAAATAAATAAAAAATAAAATAAAATTAAAGAACCTCAAAAAGCTTGGTTGTGGTGGGTTATAATAAAAGTAATAGAAATTAAAACTGATATATCTTTAAACACATGAATACACAAATACACATTCCGTTAGCTGTCAAAGTAATGATTTTATCATATGTTATCTAGCCTCTGGAAAAGTCCACAGTACCAGAATGAGAATGAAAAAGGCAAATAAATCTTATGAATATAGTTCTGACCTCAAAAACTCCATGAAAGAATCTTGGCAACTCTCAGAAGTTCCATAATCATATTTTGAGAACCAATACTCTAGAGTAAATATGAAATGAAATTGATAAATCTAAGGTAAAAACCCGTTCAACTTGACTAGCTAACAAACTACTTTCCCCAGTGAGTGTATCAACTAATAAATTCTGACCAGCAATGTACTTTTTCTTGTTACTGCACATCGTCACCAACATTTGGTACTAGGGGACTTATTCATTTTTAACTACCTGGTAGATAAGAAACAGTATGTCACTGTGGTTTTAATTTTCATTTTCTTGATTATCAATCAGGTTGAGGGAATTTTTTTTTCATACAAACTTTCTGTAAACAGTTTCTATTGGGATCTTCATATTACCTCCTGTTGCCCCTTTTCCTTTGAGTACAAGTGCAAATGTTTTGAAAGATGCTACTAGATGGCTTTATTTCACAATATGAAACATAGCTCTCATTATTTGAAACACGTCATTATACATTTCTACCCAGATTACTGATAATGTGTATTTCTAGGCCTATTGGTTTTATATGGAGTCTATATATGGAATTCCTTATATGCTCTATCTAGTCACCCTCAAATTGGGAACAATTTAAATGTATTTTACTGAAAAAAAAATGTTTCATGGCATCCTCAGATGCCTTAAGTACTGGACTATATCAGTATTTTTCAAATTGTGATTCACAGGAAAGTATCGAGCACCCTATCCCATACATCTATTTCTTTTCATTTTTCTTCCTCCTGTCCTCCACCTTCACTCTAGTACTTTGACTGTTGTATATACCAGGGAGTTCCAAATAAAGTTTCATTTTTTAAAGATTACATTACTAATTTAAAAAATGGTTTTGAACAATCACTGCTATAATTTCTCTAGAAAAATCTAAACAAACAACAAATACAAACCACATAAATTGGATATAAGCTAAGCATAGAAACATTTTATATTACAGAGAGTTATTTTATATTTGTTTTGTATGTAACTTCAGAGGCCTTTCACCAGAAGAAATTAGTGCAAATTAGATTTAACACTTTAACCTTTGCATTACCACTTATAACCTAATAACTTTAAAGGCTAGTAGTCTAACAGAGGAGTTTGTTATGAATTATGCAGAGTTAAGTTAAATCGCTCCAATGGCTGTGCAGTCTCACCTAGCACAGTGCTCACTGGGAGAAGAGGTGGGCTGGAGCTCCAGGAGGAGGAGGGACAGAAACGTTTTCTAATAAGATAGTTTATAATGCAGGTCAGAGTACAAGAAAGAGAACTAAACATTCTGAAACAGTAAGAAAGTAAAATGTTTGGGTAAGAAGAAAAAAAGAGAGACACACACTCCCATATGTAAAGCATATTCAAATAAATAAGAATTTTCCTACAAAGTCTTCATTTCATCGACTAAAAAATCAAGGGACTAATTTAATGCTTTGCAATAATTTCTTAAACATTTATGTAATCTAAAAAGTAAAAGAACTTTTCCTTTTTTAATCCCATTTATTACTCATGGTATTTTACTGAAATAAGTATGTTGAATATCATACATAAATATAGTAAAGTCACAAAATAAATTAACACAAGTTGAGATACTAGCCTAAAAGGCAACATCAAAACTTACTGATACATAATTCACAATATAGTCACTAATCCTTTGGTTGGAGAAACAAGAATATTAGCTTTTTCTTCAAATAATAAACTTTCTTGACTATGCCCACGGCAACTCTTTTTAAAGCAGAATGGCCAAAAAGTTATTTAATAAAGCTGTCCAATATGCTTTATATGTAAGAAGAAAAAGCTGGTAAAACAGACAACAAAACACACTTAAGATTGTGTAAAAACTAATCCAAAAATGTTCTTAAATTTGTTGTGTTTATGTTCTAGCAATAATCACACAAATAAATAATTTGATCTAATATAACTAAATTATTTCAGGCTTCCATAACCAAGCTCATAAGTACTACCACATATTAAAATAGATTAATAAATAATATACCTGATCCAATAGTGGGTGGTGAAGGTGTAGGCACGGCAATGGGAATGCCAATACTGCTGCTTCCACTGTTCTCTCGACTTCCACTTCCCCCACTACTTCCACTGGAAAGAAAAGAAAAAATAGTGAAAAAAGGAATTCTAGTGATTTAACTGCCCAAAATAATAATAATCAATTCAAAGCCACTAACTACTCCCTTTTATGATATACTAGAGGCTCGGTGCACAAATTCATGCACGGCTGGGGTCCCTAGGCCTGACCGGCAATCAGGGCCGATAGGGACTGTGCCCATTGGGGCCAGGTGGATCAGGGCCTGCCAGGGGAGGGACCACAGGAGGCTGGCCGCTGGCCCCAAGGTGGGAGCCAGCCCTGGGCGCCCCTGGGAAAGGGGCCACGCCCACCACCACCCACCCCCAGTTCCCCATCCCAGTCCAGGGCCTGAAGGGAGAGGAGACAACAGTTGCCAGGCCAGGTGCGGAAGGAACGGATGCCGCCGATGCCACCGTTATCGGCACCCCGCCACCGCACGGTTCCCTGACTGGCCCCCTTGCCGCCACACCACCACCATAGCAGGCCGGTGGCCCCCAAGGAAGGGAGAGGATGGGAGTGAGACAAACCCTTGTGTCGAGGGTTGACTTTCAATAGATTGCAGTGAAGGAGCTGCTCTGCTATGTATGAAACCCTGACCCAGAAGCAGGTAGTTTAGGAATGGTTTAGCACCAGGGGCCGATGGGGGCCAGCTGGCGGGGGAGGGAGGGAGGACGGGAGGTACTGCAGGAGGTTGGCTAGCCAGGGGGAGGGTACCACGGGTGGTTGGCTATGGGAGCGCACTGACCACCAGGGGGCAGCCAGTGCATGTCATAGCGACTCATCATCCGGTTGTTCCGGTCATTCAGTCGTAATGGTTGCTTAGGCTTTTATATATATAGATATGTAAAAAAAATTTTAGAAACTGTTCAATACAAAATTTTGTTGTTAATCCTCACCCAAGGATATTCTTTCCACTGATTTTTATAAAGAGTAGAAGAGAGGGAGGGAGAGAGGAGAAAGAGGAGGGAGGGAAAAGGGGAAGGAAAGACAGGGGAGGGGCAAGAGAGAGAGATGTGAAAGAGATAATGATTGGTTGCCTCCCACACTCACCTTGAATAGGGCCTGGAATTGAGCCTGCAACCCAGGTACATGCCCTTGACTGGAAATCGAACCCAAGACCCTTCACTATGTGGACTGACATTCTAACCACTGTGATTCTTGTGTTTCACTCTACTCAATCTATTCGAAACCAATATAACCTTAACATAGTACTCAGAACTATCAGAAGAGATCATCGTATTGAGAAATGAAAATCTTATATACAATAAGCCAACAAGGATTTATTTAAAACCTGCTATGAATAGTAGTAAATAAGGCAGACATGAACCATGGTGTCATGGAGCTCACAGTAAAGAATGAAAAAATAGACATTAAAAAACAGTGTGAAAGCCTGGCTGATTTGGTTCAGTGGTTGAGCATCGACCTATGAACCAGGAGTTCAAATTCTGATTCCCGGTCAGCGCAAATACCCAGGTTGCGGGCTCAATCTCTGGTAGTGGGCGTGCAGGAAGCAGCCAATCAATGTATCTCTCTCATCATTGATGTTTCTATCTCTCTCTTCCTCTCCCTGAAATCAATTGAAAAATAAACAAACAGTGTGACAGATGCCACAAAAGAAAATGAACAAGATGCTGCTCTGGCCGATATAGCTCAGTTGGCTGGGTGTCATCCTGTACACCAAAGGGTTGCCAGTTGGATTCTGGGTCAGGGCACATGCCTGGGTTTCAGGCTCAATCCCCAGAAGGCGGTGTGCAGGAGGCAGCTGATTGATATTTCACCTCCCTCTCCCTCTCTTTCTAAAAAAGAAATCAATAAACTATTCTTTTTTAAAAAATGTACAGATGCTATGGGAATTAAAAGTTTAACCAATTTTAGTCTGGAAATAGTATAAAAATCTCTCATCTCAAAGAATGGTGCTAAAATAGAGTATTTTCTGGAAAATGAGCAAAACAACAAAAAAGGCAGCAGTGAGGTTTCAGTGTGAGGCATTCTAGAATAGTCATTACTGTTCAACTTTAACCAATTCCCTACTTTTCGAATTCCTATAGATTTACTATCCCTTTAGGTATAAGACCTCACACTATATAATCATTTTTAGTAAGCAATGTGTGTATGTACATGTATGCAAATGTACATATGTGCATTTGTAGTCTTAGGCTCCGTATTATATTTTAAAACCAACATCATTCGCCTAATAGGCCCCCAAAAAAATCAACAGGGCAGACTTGTACTGCCTAGATAAAAAATGTTTTTCTCCAATGTGATCATTCTATAATTACATCAGTACATGTTAATGAAAGAAAAACAAAGAAAGCATTTCTATTACAAAAATAGCTTCAATGTGAAGAACTCCCTTAACTCCAAGCCAGGTACACTGCTTTGTAACACCAATACATCACAGACATGAATATTTCCCCACTAATTATTCTCTTCTACAATTACTGGCTTTTTTCTAACATGGGGGTTGGCAAATTACAGCACATAAGCCAAACCTGACTCATGATCTGATTTTTATGACCTATGAGCTAAGAACGTTTTTTACATTTTTCAGTAGCTGAAAAAAAAATCAAAAGACGAATATAACACATTAAAATTACATGAAAGGCAGATTTCACTACAATATATAAAATATTATTGGAATGCATGCTCACTCGAACATTTACATGCTATCCATGACTGCATTCATACTACAATGGGGAGCTATGTAACTGTAATGGAGACAAATCCCAGAAATATTGACAATCTGGCCCTTTATAAAAGTTTGTTGATCCCTGTTTTAACAGAATGCGCTTCTGAAAAAAAACTATATCATATTGGTATATCCCTCGCATCTAATGAAGTAACTCTTAAAAACTGGTTGCTTAATATAACTAAACGATAGAGAAAAACCATGTTTTAATATAAATTCAATAACAAACATAAAAAAGAACACTTGTGGTACTCACTGAACTTGACCTGATATAGTAACTGCATATACCAATGTAAACGTTTATTTACTAACAGCAGCAATAACAACAAATGTCAATTACACAGAATCTAAGAGCCAGATACCCTCTTTAGTTGAAACCCAAAAAAATGATTCTGCTAAGTTTTTTAAATTATTATTACTGATTTCAGAGAGGAAGGGAGAGGGAGAGAGACAGAAACATCAATGACGAGAGAGAACTATTGATTGGCTGCCTCCCGCATGCCCCACAATGGGAACTGAACCCCCAACCCAGGGATGTGCCCCAAACAGGAATCGAACCGCAATCTCCTGGTTCATAGGTCAACGCTCAACCACTGAGCCATGCTGGCTGGGCAATTCTGCTAAGTTTTACCTCTAATACACCAACCCAAAAGTCAAGGTAAGGAGAGGTTCTTCCCCAAGTTAAGTGGGAGGTAAAATTAAAGAATAAAATAAAGTAAACTATACAATGTATCTGTCTGGCTTTATAAAGTGCCCAAAAATGGAGTGGCTACTTCTGGGGGGAGAAGGTAGAGGTGATAGTTAGGAAAGGGTCTAAGGGGGACTTTTGAATTGTTGGTAATGTTCCATTTTCTGACTTGGGTGATGGTTACACCAATGTTTTCAAATTGTCTTAACCCATTAAGTTACATACTTAATAATACTTTTCTAAATTTATGTTATGTTCCCAAACCAAGTTTTTAAAAACCCACTGGGCAGTTGATTTCTAGAAATTTTAAAAAACAGTAGATACAATAACATATTCTAGAGCAGTGATCGCCAACCTGCTCCAAAGGTTTCCTTAAACCAGCAGTCACCAACCTTTCGGACTTCACGGACCACCGGTTGGCAACCGCTGCTCTAGAGTATACCAACTCTATTAATTCTTTCTCGGATCTAAGCTAGGTCTTCCTTTTTCCAACCTCTTAAAGCTTAAATCACATTGTATAATTCCTGATATTTAACCTATTATCCCAAAATACAGAATGCCCTCGAAAAATGTACACACATTTTGAATAATATTAATTCCAAAAGGTTAAATCTGAAAAGAAATAAACATCAATGGAGCTATCAGCTGTTAAGTTTGTATACATTTTCATTGTTTTGGGACACCCTATTCTTAAGAGCAGTTACCTTAACCTTTTTTAAAAGACTGTTTTAAAAAACATTCGTTAGCTTATGTCCAAATACATATCTGTACCTCTGTCAAAAGGAAGAAATAGTAGCGATCTGCTTATAGTATAAATATATATTTAAAAATCTAAAAAAAACCAGAAGCTATAACAGAAACTTATACAATATTATTACCTCAACTTTTATACTCTGTGTTAACAGTATAGTACTTTACTCAGCAACTGTATAGGGTTTGTGACCAGTTAATAATCCCAACTTGCAAATGGTCAAAGGCTCAACCTGAAGGATTACCTGTGTGTCCTCGGTCTCTGGTTTAAAGAAGCTGTCCTGCCTGGGCTATGCTGACTTCCAAGCCTAGCCGGACTGGTCATGTAGTCATTAGGAACTGTTGGAGGTTTAACAGGTTCCAGGGTTTTATAAGGCGTATTCCGTCTAAAGAAGTGTCAAAGAAAGGAATAATGAATAAGATAAAATGGCATTTCCCCCCAAATGTGATTGTCCCTTTGTAACCAAGTAGAAGACAAGTGTTTTATTGTGTGTTTTTTTAATTTATTGATGAGAGAGAAAGGAAAAAACATCAACCTGTTATTTATGCATTGGTTGCCTCTTGTATATGCCCTGACAGGTCAAACCCATAACTTGGGCATATTGGGACAACGTTCAAACCAACTGAGTGAGCTACTCAGCCAGAATTAGAAAACAAGTTTTAAAAACATTTTTAATAATAAAGGTTATTTTAAAAAATTCTTAATTGGAGTAAATGAATTTTTGTTACTTTTCACAAAAACTAAAATGTGTTACCTTTTCTTAGGAAAAACATAGGAAAGGGTAATTTAAAAGTATTAATCCTACTTCTAAATATAATGGTTATAATTTCTGAAATGCTCAATAATATCATACTTTGACATATACATTATTCCCAGTTCAGTCACCCATAAGCCATTGTCCTTGTACATTATGAAAACTAAATATCTCCTCTGCAATTTATTCCTACCTCATTATGGTAATTTATAGACAATGGACAAGTATAGCACATTCTGATTCTAGATGTAATACCATTCATTTTCCAATAAATGATTTTAACTTTTCTATTTAATAACTTCATGTATTTTTTGCAGGGGTAAGGAGTTTACAGAATGAAAATAAAAACCAAGAGTCTATTAAAAAAAGGCTGATTGTTGATCCCTATTACTATGAAATAATTATTTCCCAGCCCTCCACTAAAAAAAAAAGAGCTCTAATATATTATTTTCTATGTTAAGGTGAACAATCTTTCAGAAGTGTCCTACCAAATATTCACAAATTTTATTGCACAAAGAACTGAGAAGGAAGACACCACCAATGGTTATCTTTTTTGCTCCCCAACTGGCCTTCTCACAAAGCTACTCAAGTATGAAGTATGCAAAACCTATGGACACAGACAATGGTGTGGTGAGAAGTATGCAAAACCTGTGGACACAGACAATGGTGTGGTGAGGGCCTGGCAAGGGATGGGAGCGGGCTGGAAGAGGTTAACGGGGGAAAAAAGAGAATCTATGTAATACTTTCAACAATAAAGATTAAAAAAATAAATAAAATAAAAAATATGAAGGGCCCTAAGATTACCTAGCACAAGCACCATTAGAAATATTCCAGGTAAAGAGCCTCTAAATCTTAGGTAGAAAGTAATAGAGGAAACAGAAAAGCTGCAGGTCACCAAGCTAAACTATACAAAATAGACCACTTATTCAAAGTTCTGTAATATAAATATTGTAAATACTTGTGAAAGCATCACATAGAATGAATACACTGGTCATTTCATTTGAAATAAACTTAAGTCAAATTGCTCTCTTTTTTTTTTTAAAGGAATTAAAAAGATAAATAAATAATGCACATTTCTACATATACAAAAGAACCTGTCTAGTACAGACTTCCATAGAAGAGAATATTATAAAACAAGTAGATTCATTTTGGATTCTGCTCATGGAAATAAGCACCAAAATGAATTTGTAAAAGGTAGTGTCACACTGAGGGGTCCATAGCAAGAACCCCTACATTTACTTAAGTCATAGAATCATCTTTTCCTTTACTATATGAATCTTCTTGTAAAATTTACTTGGATTCTTACCCCAACGTTCCCCGGCCTGACATGGGAGGACTTGGTGGTTTCTGAGTAGGAGGATTTGTTCTCGACAGTGTGCCAGTTCTTGCAGGCTGGTTATTTCCATGCTATAATGCAGGAAAAAGAGCTTTTATTTTTATATCAAATTGTTCTCTTGGTGTTTTGATACTAAGTTATTATTTTTAATATCAGAATGTGAAGTAAGGATTCCCAGACAGTTTTAACAACAGACTTTGGTTCTACATTTTAAAAAGTCAAGAAACCAATTGCACTTGGCTTTTTCTATTATTCATACCAATCTATGGCAAAATACAGGTGAAATTATTGGATTTTATATATTATTTTATTGTTAAATATGTTCACCGAGATCACACTTATCTGCATTCAAATATGAAGTTTCCTAAAATTTTTAAAAATGTGTGCATGAATTTAAACTATAGATCTCAGTGTCAATTTGCTAAAATATTCATCTAAAAAATCATCTTTATCCTAAAAACTAAGAAACAAAGTCATATATGATGTCTGGGAAACCTTCTGTTTATGTCAATAAAAGCAAGGCAACTATCAAAAAATAAGCAAAGCAATTCATGTTAGCAAAATTAATGTTCCTATATAAATGCAGATGTCAATATATCTTTGATATATTAACACATCCAAGCTAAATGTAGCTACTTGTATTGAGTTTGAGTATATTTAATCTATATAAATCCTATGGGGAAAAAGCAGGCAGATGAAGGAAGAGTTTTCAAATTTTAGTGGCTCTGCAGCCTCTATCAATATAGAGGTAAAACTGTGTATCAAATGATAAATAGTATCTCTTACCTTGGCTTTTAGCCACTTTACGTTGGCAAAAAAGGGGGGGAAAAAGTAGAAATTAATTCTAAATATGTTATACCTAATAGGACAGGTTTATGTTTACAGTTATTCATTTCCTGTTAATAAGTTTTTACCCAGCCATTACTTCAAATATTTTGTAAAGAAAAAGATATCCATTAGCAGCTGGGAAATATTCATGTGTATCACATATTTTTCAAAAGAAGAATATATTCATAAGGAAACTACCACTTATTTATGCCAATCTCATACAGACCCAATAATTTCTTAGTTCTGTATTTTATCCTATGGAACTATTCCAAATAAATCACAGATGATAAACTTCGATTTGAAAACAAATACCATAACACATAATATGTAAGGCTACTTTAATACATCAGTGTACAAGACCTAAGACTTTGCTGGATAACAAATGCATAAATATGAGTATTCACTATTTGAAAAGTAGTATAGTATAGTATTTTTTAAAGTGGTAAACTGAAAATATTACAATTCAAAATAACAGGTTGCTTCAAATTCAGAAAAATGATGAAACACCTCCAAGTCTAAAAACAAAATCACTATGCAGGTTAATACCTTAGCCAGATTTTAACTACGAAATAGAGTCTGGAAACCCTCCTGTTTGTTACTTGATGGATCCAAATTTAAGCAGGCCAATACCTTCTGAACCAGTTTAGCCCGAATTCAAAACTGAAGAAAAGCTGCTTTGATCTTTTTTTAACTTTATTTTTTTAATATATTTTTATTTATTTCAGAGAGGAAGAGAGAGGGAGAAAGACATAGAAGCATCAATAATGAGAGAATCATAGATCAGCTGCCTCCTCACATCCCACAAAAGCCCACAACCCAGGCATGTGCCCTGACAGGGAATCAAACCATGAGTTAATAGATCGACACTCAACCACTGAGCTACACGGGCCGTGCGAAGCTGCTTTGATCTTAAAGGCTACTTCTATGAAACATGACTAGTATATAATAATAAAAGTGTAATATGCTAATTAGACCGGACATCCTTCCAGACGTCCTTTCATACGACCTTCAGGATGAAGCTGGGGCTGCAAGTGAAGCCCAGGTCCCAGGTGCCAGAATGAAGCCGGTGCTGGCAGCCAGGGGAAGGCTAGCCTACTCTTGCACAAATTTCGTGCACTGGGCATCTAGTCTACATATCAAATAACACATACATATGTATTAATATGAACACATGTGCATATATGAATAATCTATAATAATAAAAGCATAATAGGATAATTACACCAGACAGCTGAACGACCTTCCAGAGGAAGCCAAGACGGAGAGGGCCAAGGCAAGCCACCGCGGCTGCGAGGGCCAAGCCCCTTGCACAAATTTCGTGCATTAGGCCTCTAGTATGAAATAATGTGTACAGTCCTAAGGCATCACTATAAGTGCTATGCCACTTAAGAACACTGTCATGTTGTAGAATCTAACTTTTTATAGATTTTAGGGGTTTCAAGTTCTTTCCATAATATGTGCTGTTCTAAATATATATCTAACAGTTTTTAGGTGATCCTAAAGACAACATTAAGGATATTATCCTAAAGAGGAATGTACCCGTCTTTAGAATGATATTGCTCATTTTTATCTGAAAACAATGTCTGGAATTCTACCTAGCCAGTACATACACCTGGATTTAGAAATTAAAGCTGAATAACATTATCCTTGGATATAAGATATCCTATCTAATAATAGACAAACATGGTAATTAACCGTACCTCTGACACGCTTCCCATTGGCTAATCAGGGCGATATGCAAATTAACTGCCAACCAAGATGGCGGCCAGCAGCCAGGCAGCTGAAGTGAACAGGAGGCTTGCTTGCTCCAGTGAAGGAGGAAGCCAAGGTTCCCCGCCTGCCGCTGCTGGGCTCTGAGCTTGCACTCTAAGAAACAATGTTGCAATTATAGACGCTAAACAAACCCCATGCTTTCAGCCAGCTGGAGTTGCAACAGTGTTTCAATTATAGAAGCCAAACAAACCAGATACCTGCTTTCAGCAGCTGAGGTCTCAGTGCTGGAGCCGAGCCTCAGAGCTAAAGCCGGCTCTCAGCTCCAGTGACAGCCATAGAAGGTAAATAAATCCCAGAATAAAAAAAAAAAGAAAAAAAGGAGAGGTTGGGAGCTTCAGTCACCCACCAGCCTGAAAACGGCCCTCATCCAGGCTGGCCAGGCACCCAAGCAGGACCCCTACCCTGATCCAGGACACCCTTCAGGGCAAACCAGCCGGCCCCCAACCGTGCACCAGGCCTCTATCCTATACAGTAAAAGGGTAATATGCAACCCAGCACCGAGATGAGCGGAGCCGCGAGGCCTCACGCCCCAGGATCAGCAGAGCCGCAAGGCCTCCCGGCACTGGAATCAGCGGAGCCACGAGGCCTCCTGGCACCGGGATCAGCGGAGCAGCGAGGCCTCCTGGCACCGGGATCAGCAGAGCAGCAAGGCCTCACTGCCCCGGTGTCAAGCGGAGCCTCGAGGCCTCCCAGCACTGGGATCAGCGGGAGCACGAGGCCTCCTGGCCCCTGGAGCAGCGTGACAGGGGGCAGCACCAAGCCCCCTGATCGCCCTGCGGCTCTGTGTGTGACAGGGGGCGGGGCCACAACCTCCCTATCTGCCCTGCTCTGTTCGTGACAGGGAAAGGCGCCCCGACCCCCTGATCAGCCCTGCTCTGTGCCTGATAGGAGGGAGCTCCCCAACCCCCTGACCAGTCCTGCTCTGTGTGTGACAGGGTGCGGCACCCCAACCCACCCATGGGCCTTGCTCTGTGTGTGACAGGGTGGAGCCACAACCTCCCAATCGGCCCTGCCCTGAGTGTGACAGGGGGGAGTGCCCCAACCCCCTGATCGGCCCTGATCTGTGGGTGACAGGGGGCAGCGCCCCAACTCCCTGATCCGCCCTGCTCTGTGTGTGACAGGGGGCGGTGCCCCAACTCCCCTATCGGCCCTACTCTGTGCGTGACAGGGGGAAGCTCCCCAACCCCCTGATCGGCCCTGCTCTGTGACAGGGTACAGAGCCCCAACCCCCCTGATGGGCCCTGCTCTGTGCGTGACAGGGGGCAGCGCCCCAACTCCCTGATCGGCCCTGCTCTGTGTGTGACAGGGGGTGGCGCCATAACCTCCCCATCTACCCTGCCTTGAGTGTGACAGGGGGCGGCGCCCCAACCCTCCAATCGGCCCTACCCTGAGCGTGACTGGGGGTGGCATCGCAACCTCCCGATCCGCCCTGCTCTGTGCATGACAGGGGGCGGCGCCCCAACTCCCCAATCGGCCCTGCTCTGAGCCCAACCAGGGGCTGCACCTAGGGATTGGGCCTGCCCTCTGCCACCCTGGAGCGGGCCTAAGCCAGCAGGTCGTTATCTCCCGAGGGGTCCCAGACTATGAGAGGGCACAAGTGGGGCTGAGGGACACCCCCCCCCACCAGTGCACAAATTTTTGTGCACCGGGCCTCTAGTGTTAGAAATAATTAAGTAAGCAACAACTTTTTTTTTTCTAATCCTCACCTGAGTATATTTTTTCCATTGATTTTTAGAGAGTGGAAGGGAAAGTTGGAGGGAAGGAGAGAGGGAAAGAGTAGGAGAGGGAGATAGAGAAACAATGATGTGAGAGAGACACATTACCCCAGTCAAAAATAGATTTTAAGGCTTCCTGTCAAGATGGCAGAGTAGATAAATGTGGTACTTGAATCCTCCCATATCCACATCAAAATTATATCTAAACTACAGAACAATCATCATTCAGACCCGCCTAAAATCTAGCTGAAGGGAAGTCCTACAACTAAGGATATAAAGAAGAAACCACTTTCGAGACTGGTAGGAGGGGTGCATACTCAGAATAGGCTGGTATCACAACCACATGTGGTGGTTAAAAATTGGGAGGAGCCCTGGCTGGTGTGGCTCAGCTGGTTGGACACTGACCATGCACCAAAAAGTTGCTGCTTCAATTCTCAGTCAGGGCACATGCCTTGGTGGTGGGCATGCATGAGGCAGCTTCTTGAAGTTCTGCTCTCACATCAATGTGTCTCTCTCTCTCTCTCTCTCTCTCTCTCTCTCCCTCCCTACCTCCCTCCCCCTCTCTCCCTCTCTCTTTAAAAACAAACAAACAGCAAGCACTGTGGCTAAAATAGAGGGCTACTGGAGACCCAGATGTTCCTCTTAAAAAGGAACACACAGACTTACTTGGACTCTGAGTTCCAGCATTGGGACAGCAGCCTGAAATGCATCAGGGACATACGGAGAGGAACTGAACTGTATGGCATCAGGGCGAGAGCTGGAGAGGCAGCTTTCTCCCTGACAGGAGTGCTGGCAGAGGCCATTGATAAGCCAACAAATGACATATCCAAGTCTCCATCCAACTGTCTAAAAGGGTATGCCCTGCCCTAAGACCCCACTCTACCCCACCCAACTTGCAGGCCCACCCAAGCTGTTTCCCTGGCTTTTACATAGGAATAGCCAGTCTTGGCTCCTGTGTCAGACTTTCCAATAATCCCTCAAACAAGCAGCATCTGGCCTCTGCATGCCCTGCACCTCTCACTAAGTAGTACCAGGCGCAGCAATAGTGGCATCCGGCTTGTTCATAGCTTGGTCTCTCCTGGGCACCTCACCTCAAAGCCCAGCATAAATACCAGCCATCTGCAGATTGCTTTGTAGCTCATTTTGGATGGCCCTAGGCCAGTGGTTCTCAACCTTCCTAATGCCGCGACCCTTTAATACAGTTCCTCATGTTGTGGTGACCCCCAACCATAAAATTATTTTCGTTGCTACTTCATAACTGTAATTTTGCTACTGTTATGAATCGTAATGTAAATATCTGATATGCAGGATGTATTTTCATTGTTACAAATTGAACATAATTCAAGCATAGTGATTAATCACAAAAACAATATGTAATTATATATGTGTTTTCCGATGGTCTTAGGCAACCCATGTGAAAGGGTCATTCGACCCCCAAAGGGGTCGCGACATACAGGTTGAGAACCGCTGCCCTAGGCAGAACACAAATAGTGACTGACCTTGTCCTATACCTCCGGGTAGTCCCCAGAACAAGCACACCCACTGGACAGCTTCAGACCAGATTGAAGCACCACCCAATCACCTCCAGGAGCCACACACTCAAGGGGTGGACTCAGCAGACACCAAAGACCTGATGAAATCCTGCTCTGTGGGGTGGGACCCTGCATAGCTGATACTCCACGATGGTGACAGCCAGTCCTTGCAACCGATCAACCTTGGAATAAATCCTTCCCCTTGATGTGTCAACAGCAATTAAGACTCAACAACAACAGGAGGGTATACCAAAGCCCACATAAGGGTCACTCCTAGAGTGCCCAGCTCAGCTAAACAGGGAGGCTGTGCCACTGGACCCTACAGAATACCTGCTACATTAGACTGGAAGACAGGAAGACATAGTAATTCTACCTAATACATAGAAAGAAAAAAAAAAACAGTGAGGCTGCAAAAATTAGGAGACAAAGAAACATGTCTCATATGGAAGAACAGAACAAAATTCCAGAAAAAGAACTAAACAAAATGGATTCAAGCAATCTACTAGATGCAGAGTTCAAAATATTGCTCATAAGGATGTCAAAGAACCTAGGGGAAGAGTAGATAAACTTAGAGAGGACTTCATCAGCATAAAAATATACATGGAAACCATAGAAAAGAAACAGGCAGAAATGAAGGATACACTAACGAAAATAATTTACAGGAAATCAACAATAGAGTAGATGAAGCTAAGAATCAAAACAGCAATTTGGAATAGAAGGAAGCAAAAAACACCCAATCAGAAGAGAAAAAAAAGAATCCAAAAATATAAGGATAATGTAAGGAGCCTCTGGGATAACTTTAAGCATATCAACATTCTTATCATGGGGGTGCTAAAAGGAGAAGAGAAAGAGCAAGGAATTGAAAACCTATTTTAAAAAAATGACAGAAAACTTCCCTAACATGGTGAAGGAAATAGACATACAACTCCAGGAAGCACAGAGAATCCCAAACAAGATGAACCCAAAGAGACTTATACCAAGATTCATCATAATTAAAATGCAAAAGGTTAAAGACAAAGAGAGAATTTTAAAAGTATCAAGAGCCCTGGCGAGTGTAACTCAGTGGTTAAAGCTTTGGCCCACACACAGAAGGATTGTAGGTTTGATTCCCAGTCAAGGGCATGTACCTGGGTTGCAGGTTCAATCCCTGGCCCTGACTGGGGTGTGTGTGGGAGGCGACCAATCAATGTGTCTCTCTCACATCGATGTTTCTCTCCCCCCACCCCATCCCTTCCACTCTCTCTTAAAAAATAAAAATCAGTGAAAAACAGCCTCAGATGAGAATTAACAAAAAAAAAAAAAAGCAAGAGAGCCCTAGTTGGTGTGCTCAGTAGTTTGAGCACTGGCCCATACACCTATGGGTTACGGATTCAATTCCCATTCAAAGGCCCTTACCTGGTTTGCAGTAACTGGATTTCAGGTTTGATCCCCAACCCAGGTCAGGACATGTACAGGAAGCAACCAATCAATGTGTCTCTCTCACATCGATGTTTTTTCCTCTCACTCTTTCCCCTCCTCTCTTCCACTCTTTCTAAATAAAAATCAATGGAAAAAATATCCTTTGGTGAGGATTAACAACAAAAAGCAATAAGAGAAAAGCAGTTAGTTACCAACAAGGGAGCTCCCAAAAGACTGTCAGCTGATTTCCCAACAGAAATGACAGGCCAGAAGGTATTCACAAAATATATTCAAAGTAATGAAAAACAAGGACCTACAACCATGATTGCTCTACCCAGCAAAGGTATCAATTAGAATGGAAGAACAGATAAAGAGCTTTCCAGACAAGACAAAGCTAAAGGGGCTCATCACCACCAAACCATTATTACATGAAATATTAGAGGGTCTTATTTAAGAAGGGGGAAAAATATAAAAAATATGAACAATAAAATGACAACAAATACATATCTATCAACAATTTAATCTAAAAATAAATTAAACAAACAAGCAGAACAGACTCAGAAAACATTTTGAGGGTTGCCAGATAGGAGGAGGGTTGGGGAGATGGGTGAAAAAGGTGAAGGGATTAAGAAGTACAAATTGGTAGTAACAATTAGTCATGGAGATGTTAAGTAGGGCATAGGAAATACAATCAATAATAATCTAATAACTATACATGGTGTCAGATGAGTATGAGATTTATCCGGATGATCACTTAGTAAGTTATATAATCATTGAGATGTATAACTAAAACTAATATTATGTGGTATGTAAACTGTAATTTAAAAAGAAAAAAATACATTTAAAAAAAGTCTGCATAACAATATGAATGTGCTTAATGCGACAGAACTGTACACTTCAAGTGGTAAATTTTATGTGATTATATTTTACCATAATTTTTTTAAAGTTTAAAAAAACCCCAAGTCTAAAATACCTGTATTACAAAAAAGTAGACTGCCAAAACTCACATCTGTATACTTTCAGTATAGATCATGCTGTGTTTACACTTCCCATTTATACATATATAAAATAGTTGAATATTCTCACCCATTCCTTGTAAAATGTGGTTTCATCTTATACTCTGCTAAGCATTGTGTATTAAACAATTATACTGAAGGGACAATAGAAGATATTCTAAGAGGATGATAAAACTTTATTCATGAGTGTATATTGCTTTGGTAGGAAGAAAAATCAAGATTGGGCAAAAGCGGAACAAGTGAGTGAATAAATGAGTGAGTGTGTGTGTGCACTTGCACATATACATGTGTAAGATATATATAAATTTTAATCCAAAGACAAGTTAAATAATACAAAAAAGTTCTTCCAGCCTCTCAAAATCCAAATCCTATAGATCAATCTAGTCTAAAAATATCTTAAAAATCGAGTCTAAAATAACTGAATTTAAACCAGCCGGTGTGGCCCAATGGTTGAGCATCGACCCCTGCACCAAGAGGTTACTGGTTAGATTCTCGGTCTGAGCACATGCCTGAGTTGTGGGCTCAATCCCTGGTGAAGGACATGTAGGAGGCAACCAATTGATGTTCTCTCCCATCAATGTTTCTATCATTCTCTCCCTCTCCCTTACTCTCTGAAATCAGTAAAAATATATTTTAAAAAAAGAGAAAACAAGCCCTAGCTAGTTTGGCTCAGTGGATAGAGCGTCTGCCTGTGGACTGAAAGATCCCAGGTTCGCTTCCAGTCAAGGACACATGCCCGGATTGCACGCTCGATCTCCAGTAGAGGGGTGCAGAAGGCAGCCTATCAATGGTTCTCTCTCATCATTAGTGTTTCTCTCTCTCTCTCTCTCTCCTTCTCCCTCTCCCTTCCTCTCTGAAATCAATAAAAATATTTTTTTTTAAAAAAGAGAGAGAAAACAAGATATGGTATTCAAAACAAATCTATAATGATAAAAGGCTAATATGCAAATGGTCGTCATGCCCTCACGCTGTAACGACTGATCAGCAGGAGCCTGCGTCCCTGCCTGATGCCGACCGAGAACATGACTGACGCTGCGTCTCCTCCCAGCGCCGGCCGGGGACTTTGACATGCCGGTGGGGCTTGACGGGGGTGGGGTAAGCCAGGTCTGGGTCTCACCCAATGGGGGTGGGGCCAACCTGGTCTGGGTCTCACGGGATTTTGAGGCACACTCGGGTGGGCGGGGACTGGACTCTGGATCCCACGGCACGCTCCAGACTCTGACAGGAGGGAGGAGGGAGCCTGATACCCACACCCAGGACCCACACAGCAGGGCGGTGGTGGTTAGAAGAAATCAAGCTGGCAGGGGAAGGCAGTTAGGGGCGATGAGGCCAGCAGGGAAGGGCAGTTAGGGGCGATCAGGTCAGCAGGGAAGGGCAGTTAGGGGCATGAGGCCGGCAGGCAGAGGCGGTTAGGGGCGATCAGACAGGCAGACAGGCAAGCGGTTAGGAGCCAGCGGTCCTGGATTGCGAGAGGGATGTCCAACTGCCAGTTTTTGACAAAATTTGAATTTTTGTCAAACCAGCAGTCGGATATCCCCCGAGGGGTCCCGGATTGGCGATGGTGCAGGCCGGGCTGAGGGACCACCCCCCCCCCCCACCGTCTACGAATTTCATGCACCAGGCCTCTAGTTTATAATATAGTCTAAGATTAAAATAGCTCAATGAATGAATAGCCACTTCAAGTTTTAACAGCTTCTTGAATATAGCCTATCCCAAAATTCTGCCCCATTTTGGTATAATACATAGCTAATATTAAATAAGTGTTCGATAAAAATTGTAATGCTAGTTACTAAGACAGTCTACTAATTCTTCAAGAAAATAATCTTTATCAGCATTTTGCTATCCAAAATATTTACTGGGTAAATAAGTTATTTTAAGTTAATGCAATAAAAATGCTTACCTTGACACCATGGCCCACATCATCCAGAACTGTATAGTCAATAGGTTTCCGAATATACCTTACAGGGCGCTCCATATTTGCAGGTGCTATTATTTTGTGAGTTCTTGATGTATTCTTATTTGTTGTCAAAATACCAATCTCCCTTCGAGCCACTTTCTCTTTATGAATGTCCACCGTCTGTATTTTAATATAAACAATGCAAGAGAATATTATTAGGCATAGTATAGTAAATAATAAATATGATGCCCAAATATCTTGGATCATAAACAGGTTGGACCATATAACTGTATCACATCTATTTTCCAGTGAATACTATATTTTTCCCTTCAAAATTAAGCAAATTAATATCCTCAAGGTTCAAAACAGGGAATAGCTTAAAAGTAATTTAAAAAATGAATTTAATGGATTTGATTCCAAAGCAATTTTCTTTCCTAAAGATTTGGTGTTTGTGTGAAAGGACTGGAGTCATACTCAAAGTAGCTTACACTTTATGTAGTGAGGATGCAAAAAAAAAGTAAATCAATAATTAGAACACAATGAGATAAGTGCAGTAGTGACACATGCAGTTTATTAGAAATTAAAGGTGTTCAGCCCTGGCTGGTGTAGGTCCGTGGTTAGAGTCTCAGCCAGCACAGCAAGGGATAGCAGGATTGATTCTTAGCCAAGAGTATGTATCCGAGTTGCCGGTTCACTGCCCACCCCCAGGTCCAGCACATGTGGGAGGCATCCAATAGATGTGTCTCTCTCACATCAATGTTTCTTTTTCTCTTTCTTGCCTTCCCTCCCTCTGAAAAGCAATGGAAAAAAAATATCCTCAGCTGAGGATTAACAAAAGAAAAAAATTAAAGGTGTTCAGAGCAAGGTACCAAACTAAATTGAGATGGGTTCACTTAAAGTAGCGGTTCTCAACCTGTGGGTCGCGACCCCTTTGGGGGTCGAACGACCCTTTCACAGGGGTCACCTAAGACCATCGGAAAACACATATATAATTACATATTGTTTTTGTGATTAATCCCTATGCTTTAATTATGTTCAATTTGTAACAATGAAAATACATCCTGCATATCAGATATTTACATTATGATTCATAACAGCAGCAAAATTACAGTTATGAAGTAGCAACGAAAATAATTTTATGGTTGGGAGTCACCACAACATGAGGAACTGTATTAAAGGGTCGCGGCATTAGGAAAGTGGAGAACCACTGACTTAAAGGCTTTATAGAGGAGGTAGGTTTTTCAGGATGAATAGGCAAATATGGAAATTATTCAAGGCAGAAAGAACTGCATATTGCAGACAATAGTATAAGAGAAACTAAGAGCAGATGTCACAGCCTAGCTAATATTGGCTTTTATGGCCTTAAAATTATTTTTAAGTTTACTTGTCAACACTTAAAAACTGGATAGTAGTTAGCATAAGAAAAATTGCACAACTGCTCAACAATTTAAATTTGTCCTAATAGTAATAGGAAACCAATAAAATTTAAATTGAGTAACATCATCAGATCTGCATTTTAAAAGATCCCTCTGGCACAGGTATTGATGACAGACAGAAGAAGACTACTGACTAGTGAGACCAGTTAGGCAATTATGGTAATCTAGGTAAGAAAAAGCAAGGACACAAACTGAACTGAAAAAAAAAAAGGGATGGGGGTATGGTTAGGAAAAAACCCCACAAGTTTAATATTAACGTTCATTTAAGATTTCATTTCACCATAATTTTTTGAGATATATTTCTTTTCTTTCTTTTTAAATTGATTTCAGAGAGGAAGGGAAAGGGAGAGGTAGAAACATCAATGATGATAGAGAATCATTGATCAGCTGCCTTCTGTATGCCCCCCACTGGGGACCAACCCTGCAAACCAGGCATTGAACTGGAATTAAACCTTGGACTCTTCAGTCTACAGGCCGACACTCTACCCACTGAGCCAAACCAGCTAGGGCTTTACCATAATTTTTTAAATGGAATGGGAAAAAACCTCTATCAAAAACGTTTTCACAACTCCAAAATAAGGTACATGCGGACAACTCCCCTTGGGTGTCCAGCACTTTTGCACATCTTACAAGGAAAGACACCCGAGTGCCTTTGCTCTGGATATCTAAACTAATAAAAGACAAACATGCAAATTGACCATACCTTCACTATGCCTTAAGCCACGCCCACCAGCCAATCAGAGCGACTATATGCAAATTAACCCAACCAAGATGGCGGCCAGCAGCTACAGAGCTGGAGCAAGCAGGAGGCTTGGTTGCCCCAATGATGCAGGAAGCCAAGCTTCCCAGCTGCCACAGCCGATTCTGAGCTCCACTCAAAGCAACAAAGTTTCAATTATAGAAGATAAATAAACCCCAGATACCTGCTTTCAGCTGGCCGTGGCCACGGAGCTGGAGCGAGCAGGAGGCTTCCCTCCTGCCCGCCATGGCCGGCTCTGAGCTCCTCTCAAGGCTACAAAGTTTCAATTATAGAAGGTAAATAAATCCCAGAATAAAAAAAAGAAAAAAAGGAGAGGCTGGGAACTTCTGTCACCAGGGGCTTGGCCAGCCTGAAAACGGCCCTCAGCCCCTCACCCAGACTGGCCACGCACCCCAGTGGGGACCCCCCACCGTAAAGGGGGTGTGACCAGCCTGAAAACAGCCATTAGCCCCTCACCCAGGCTGACCAAATCTCCATGGGGTGAGGGTCCCCACTGGGGGCGGGGGCTTGACCAGCCTGTAAACAGCCATCAGCCCCTCACCCAGGCTGGCCAGGCACCCCAGCGGGACCCCCACCCTGATCCGGGACACCCTTCAGGGCAAACCAGCCGGCCCCCACCCGTGCACCAGGCCTCTATCCTATATAATAAAAGGGTAATATGCAAACTGACCCTAACAGCAGAACTACTGGGAATGACTGGTCACTATGACACACACTGACCACCAGGGGGCAGATGCTCAATGCAGGAGCTTCCCCCTGGTGGTCAGTGCGCTCCCACAGGGGGAGCTCTGCTCAGCCACAAGCCAGGCTGATGCCGGCAGCAGCTAGAGACCCTACCCGTGCCTATACCTGTGCATGAATGTCATGCACTGGGCCTCTAGCTTATATAGTAAATGCCTTAGAAGATACAGTGTCTACATACATACAGCAAAGGTAAGGAAGGCTTATTGCCCATTATAAAATATCTGGTCCCCTAAGCTGAGAGTTCCTTTGTTTTAATACACCTAATTCAGAGGGCAGGCATCAATTAGCTTTCTTTATAGAATTCTATGAAAACTGGGGCTGGTTATCTGGCACCAATGCTGACAATCTGGCTAATGCTGCTGCCATGAATTATGACATCCTTTTTGTAATCCAAGACTCTCGTGTCCTTTAATAGTGTCCATGACACAGTGGCAGGCTAACTGGTTAGCTTGCATGAAGAGTGAAATCTCAAACCCTTCACAAGGTTTGATAATTTTGGCAATGACAATGGAATCTGACGGAGAAAAATCATTTTAGAAATAGAATGAGAGGCTAGTTAATAGGAATTGAGAGAAGTCCATGGGAATTGTGAGTCAACATGGTGACCAAATTTGTATGGTCAACCAAGCAATGAATGGTCTTCTACTTCACTGCCTGTTAATGAGGCTGGATTGAGGAGGCAGTTTCAGGCTAAGGACCAGTAAGTAGTAGGTTCAAAGAGAGTAGCCCCACTTACTTCAACCCTCTACCAAGTTGACAATCAGCCTCAGCAGGTCTGCCCTGTGAACAACTAGTACTAAGATTTGTCTGTTGGAGAGAGGGGGAAACACATAAGGTTCTATCCCTCATAGAGAAAGGTATCTACTGTATTTTTCCATGTATAACATGCCCCCATGTATAAGACGCCCTCCACTTTTCCAACCCAAAATTAAGAAATCAATATTTTAAACATTTTGCTGGTTTCCCTCTTAAGGCCTTCTTCTTTTTTGGCTTCTCAAGGAGTTGTTCTTCCTGATTTCTCCACTGTCTGATCATACACTCAGTGGGAGGAGGTTCAAATTGTCTCTCTGCAGCTCTATGTCCATGTTCTTCTGCATAGCTGATTACATTCATTTTGAATTTTGCAGAGTAAGACAATCGCTTACTGGTATTTATCTTTTTTATTTTTTCACATCTTTAAGGGCTCAGAATGCTCCGGTCCCTGTTGCATCTGCGCATTCTCCACCTCCACCTCCAATTACAGCATCAGCTGACATCAGTAACAATAAGGCTCGTGATTGGAGGAAGCCTATTTGACAAGGTATGGGCAGCTACACACCCATGGGCTCCGTCCTCGGCTGACTTCCATGTATAAGACACCCCTTGATTTTCAGTCTAACGATTTTAGAAAAAAATAGTGCCTTATACACATTAAAATATGGTACATTGGCTGTGAAAGGAGAAAAATTGCAGCCACTATGCTCAAAATAAGAATGGACCGTGAGGGCATTAAGCTAAGTGAAGTAAGTCAAACAAAGAAAGACAAATACTGTATGATGCCACTTATACGTGGAATCTGAAAAACAAACGAATAAGAACAAAAATAAGCTCATAAATAGAACAGGTTGGTGGTTGCCAGAAGGGAGGGCTAAGGGGTCAAAAGGTACAAACTTCCAGTTATAAAATAAATGTCTATATTGCATATTTGAATATTGCTAAGAGAGTAAATTTTAAGAGTTCTCATCACAAGAAAAAGAAATTTTATAATTATGAATGGGGACAGATGTTGACTAGACTTTTTGTGGTGATCACTTAACACTATATACAAATATTGGATCACTAGAGACCCGATGCACAAAATTGATGCAAGGGGCTCGGCCTCCGCCTGCCGCTGTGGCAGGGGGCCTCTGCCACCTCTGCCTCAGCCCCTGCCACCCCGGCTTCGACTGGAAGGTTATCCGGAAGGACATCTGGTCTAATTAGCATATTATGCTTTTATTATTAGATTATGTTGTATACCTGAAATTAACAGTGTTGTCTATTATTATACCTCCATTTTTTAAGAGAAAATATATACATACAAAATAGAAATTTGTTTCCTTCTGCTTCCAACACTTTAATCCCAGTCAATTTACTATCATTGCTCAACGTAGCTACTACAGTAGCATTCTAAGTGATCATTTGCATCCAATCTAGCCTCTTTCCAATCTGTTCTCCATGATATAAGCATAGTGATCTTTATAAAAACAGTTTGCAAAGAT